CCCCCCCCCCCCCACAAAATCTACCATAGAAGGAAGGATGGAAGAACTGGCACCTGCCTGGGCTATGAGACATTATCCTAGGGAACTGTCGAGCGACTTGGGAAAGGAAGTTTTCTTAGCATGTAGGAAAGGCAAGACAAATGTGTGTTTTTTTTTTCAGGTACAAAGCTGTGAGAAATTGAAGGGCACAAGGTGGAAATGGAGAGAGAGGGAGAGGTTCTTTGCTAGCACAAGCTGATCTAAAGCCAGCCAAGGAACAGTGAGAATCTCCCTTGCTTGCCCCATTATGAGTGTTCTGATAAATATTTGTAGCTGTAGTTAAAATTAGAGAAAATGAGGGTGGGAAGGAACCTCAGGAGGTCACATCTAGTCCAGCCCCTGGGACTAGCCCCAACTAGATCATCCCAGCCAAGGCTTTCTCTGCTCAGGTCTTAAAAACCTCTGCCACCTCTCTGGGTAGCCTGTTCCAGCATTTTACTACCCTCCTGGTGAGAGTTTGTCCTAATATCTAAACTCAATTTCCCTTGCTGCAACTTGACACCGTTGCTTCTTGTTCTGTCATGTCCCACCGCTGAAAACATTCTAGCTCAGGGGCAGGCAAAATTTGGGTCACAGACAAAATCTGGCTGACAGTAGACTCCATTTCCCAGCAGCCCCTGCCTGCATGGCTGGGGCCAGTTTCCATGGAGACTCCAACAGCAGCCTGGCTATGATAGTCTGGGGTTGGGGTTTCCATGGAGACCAGCCAGGCTGGGAGCTGCTGTAGGGCTGGGCTGGGTGGGATCTTGCAGTGGTGACACCGTGCTCCAGAACCACGGCAGAGCTGTAATCTGTTGCCTGCATGCTCTGGGCAGGGGCATGCAGGTAGCGGATTGTGGCTCTGCCTTGCCTTCTTGCAGTGGTGGCTGCATGGTCTGGAGCTGCAGCAGAGCTGCGATTTGCTGTTTGCATGCCTCTGCCTGGAGCACGCAGGCTGCAGATCATGGCTGTGCTTTGGCTCTGGACCACACTGTCACCGCTGCAAGATCCCAGTGTGGTCCCTGCCTTGCTGTGCGCCCTGCCCTGGCTGCTGGGGCTGGTCTCCAAGGAAACCTCAGCCCTGCAGGGCTACTGCTGAGGTCTCCATGAAAACTGGCCCCGGCCACGTGGGCAGGGGCTGCTGGGAAATGGAATCCACTGCCATGCAGATCCAGCCCATGAACTGGACTTTACCCACCCCTGCTTTAGAGGCTGCCCCTCATACCACTCTGAGCCTTGTGCTGAGACTGAAAAGGTCAGTGGTAGAGCAGGTGCCTTATGAAGTGGGCAGCAAGGAATGCTGGGTAACCTAACCCTCCCACCACCAACCCAGTGGGACAGGGCTGGGTCATCTACCTCCTCTGAGCCAAAGAGCTTGGGCTTTAAGGCAGGGACATGCACCTCCTCGTAGCCTTTGTGCTGGAGTCTGGCCACCTGGATCCACCATTTTGCCCATTCCTGGTCTAGCTCCGTTCTCTTTGGAACCAACCTTCAGGTAGTTGAAGGCTGCTATTAAAATCTACCTCAGTCTTCTCTTCTACAGATTAAGTAAATTCAGTTCCCTTAGCCTCTCTTCATAAGTCATGTCCCCCAGCCCATTAACCATTTTCATTGCCAGTTATTCCACATATTTTCTGTAGTGGGAGTCCCAAAACAGAACACAGTACAGGCAGTCCTCAACTAACAACGTTTTGAGTTGCAATGTTTTATACTTACAACATAAATTGACACCATGTTTCAACTTTACAATGCCAATTTCGACTTTACAGCACTTGATCCAATGCAACGCCATATCAGTGAACAAGTTCACTGCATCGCTCATCTCCCTGGAGAACGTCTATCCAAATTTCCTTGGACACTTTCTTTAAGAAAGCAGCCAAGACTCCAGAAAAACCTGCATCCAAGACTCCTGAGACACCTCCAGCCAAGAACCCTTCAAGAAGTCCAACCAAGAGCCTTTCCAAAAAGTCCAGCAAAGTCACCTCAAAGAAGTCCTTCCAAATCAATATGCTTGCTATTTACAATATACATACATTAATGTAGCTATATTACTCATCTATAATTGAATGAGTACAAAATTGTGGGGTATTTTTGGTGAAACTAGGGTATTGGGCCTTGGTTTAGGAACCAATCCCCCATTTATAACATTGTTTCTTATGAGAAAATTGGTTCCGAGTTACAACATTTCGAGTTGAGACACGGTTTGTAGAAACCAATTGTGTTGACTGACTGTACTCCAAATATGGCCTTACCAGTGCTGAACAGAGGTAAAGAATCACTTCCCTTGATCTGCTGCAATGCTCCTACTAATGCAGCCCAGTATGCCTTTAGCTTTCTTGACAACAAGGGCATGCTGCTGGCTTATGTTCAGCCTATTGTCCATTGTAACCCCAAGGTCCTTTTCTGCAGAGCTGCTCCTTATTCAGTCAGTCCCCAGCCTGTATGCCTTATTGTGTGACTCCAATCACTGGTCACATGGATCTTGGTTTTCTCTGTTAAAAAATCCAAAATTTGCTAATTAAAAAAAAAACAACAAATCCATGTTTTTCCACAATTAAAATGAAATACCATTATATAGGTATCAGTTGAACACAATATTTTATTGAGATATTTACAATTTTAAAGCAATTTGGAAACCTACCAGTCCCTTAATCATTAATAAAATAAATTCTAAATACCTATATATTTTGGCATTTGATTTTGGTATTTTTATCATAAAAAATCAGTTTCCTCTGCTTCCTTCACTCATCAGGATGGAGGTCCAGCTATGGATATTCCCCTCTGCTGCTTTGTGGCGCTGAGCAACCCTGATATGGCAGTGCCCTGCCCCTGCCCATGCCCCTCACTCCTAATCCACAGCCCCCAGTCCTGCTGGTGCCCTTTCTCTCCCAACCCACAGTTCCCTGTCCCACAAGCCCTTCCTATGCCCCTCACTCCCAACTGCCCCCTCCCTCTCCTCATCAGTGTCCCTTCTGACTTGTAGCCCCCATCCATGCCAGTGTTCCTCACTCCCCACCTACAGCCCCTGCTCTCTGCAGCTGCCAGGGCTGTATCCTGCCCACTCTCTGCCCTGCAGGCACCAGCTGCAGCCAGCCAGTAGTACCAGAAAACCCAGTTGTTGTGGCCCCAGTGGAGGGAAGAGTGCAGAGCCTGGGCCCCTTCCCTGCCCGTGGCTGGGAGTAGAGCTGAGTGAAGCCAGAGCAGGGGGGGTGGGATGTGGACTGCCTGCTGGGGGGCTTGGCACTCCCTGCCCTGCTGCTCTCCCCCTGGGAGCCTTCCTGGTGCAGTGGGCAGGATCCAGCACAGGAGGACAGTGTGGGGTGGGGAGACTACGTGCTGCTGCCACTCCACCACCAGAAACCCTATACCAGCTGCATTGCCGTGTGAGGGACCACCTGTCCACCCAGCAGCAGTGGGGGCAGCGCAGAGTTGCACCTCCCCACTGCTGCTGGACAGGTAGAAGGCTTCCCACCTAGGCAGCACAGCTAGTGCAGGACTTCTGGCTGCAGCAGTGGCAGCAGCATTGAGTCTCCCCACCCTACTCTGCCCTCCCATGCTGGGCTCTGCCTGCTGGGCTACAGAGACAGCTTCTGCCTAGTGCCAGTGTGGCTAGGCTGCAGCCCTGTGCCCCACACCCTGCTATCCATGCAGAAATCGGGGGGGGGGCATGTGCCCCTTCCCGATGTTGCCAGTGTGTGTGGCTGGACCATGCCTAAACGGTTCCCAAGTCCTGACTCTCCATCCTGCCCCCATCACATAGATTTACATTTATCCAGTTACCAGGGCTGCATAGCTGTATTGCCAGCCACTGCACACAAGCACATGCTTGTGGTGCCTCCTGCCACTGATTGTTCTCCCCCCACTTTTCCCAGCTACCAGCAGCCCCTAGCAGGCTGGAACTCTGCTAGCCTGCAAGGGGAAACTCAGAGTTTCCCACTTCAAAGGGAAAAAGACGGGTTTTTCCAAGAGAAATGGAAAACCTGGATCCCTGCTGATCAGCATAACATGTTTATTGTTTTTATTGCAGTGTTTTAAAGCGTCCATTTAAAGTAGCTGCACAACTGCACTTGGCCTTTGGAGATGCGCACCAGAGAGGACTCCTCCAGAGTTCCCATGCTGGGCACCAGACGGAGCTAACAAAAGGCTCTGGCTACCCCAGGCCTAGGCTGATGGCTGTGGGTAGAGAAGCATCATGTCCTGAGGGGCAGTTCCAAAGAGGATGGAACTAGTGTTCTCAGTGGTGGCAGATGACAGAACAAGGAGCAATGGTCTCAAGTTGCAGCAAGGGAAATTGAGTTTAGATATTAGGAAAGACTCTCACCAGGAGGGTAGTGAAGGACTGGAACAGGTTACCCGTAGAGGTGGTGGAATCTCCATCCTTGGAGGCTTTTAAGATCTGGCTAGGCAAAGCCTTGGCTGGGATGATCTAGTTGGGGATGGTCCTGTTTTGAGCAGGAGGTTAGACTAGATGTGACTTCCTGAGGTCCCTTCCAACCCTCATTTTCTCTGATTCTATGAACAGAGGTGTGCTGGCCAGGGAAGAACTGGGCTGGCATGTGGGGGTGACTGCAACCCAAGGCTCCCGCTGCTTGTTACCAGTCTTGGGAGTCTCCCTGTTTGGCCCCCTTCCCCATACCCTTCAGGCTCTTCCAGTTGTCCCCATGGCAGGATGGAAGCCATGGTGTCCTAGGCATAAACATGCCTGCATCATCATCTCCCTCGTGCCTGGCGCCATGCCCAAACCGCAGGACAGGTCTGTTTGGAGAAGCAATGCCTGTGAGGTGGGGCGGGGTGTATCCCCTCACCTGGTTCTGGTTTGTAGCAAAGCAGTCACTGGCACGGGCACACTCAGCTCCTGACTAGCCTGGCACAGACACACGTGACATTATGAACACTGCCCTCAGCCCAGGTTTCCACTGAGCTCGAGCCTCATCCACTCCTGGGCAGTGTGTTCCATGGGCCTTAACCCCAGCAGGCCAGGCACTGGCATGATCCTGTGGTGACCTTCCTTCCAAAGGGCTGAGCATGGGGCAGAGAGCTCAGGACTGTGGGGACAAGAGACCTGGCACAGTCCCTATCCTTCTCCAGGTCCAGCTGAGAGCAGCATGAAGCAAGCCCTGCAATTTCCCCAAGAGGACTGGTGCCAGTGGGACCCTCCAAGATTTGGGGGAGGTTTCCCTGAGCAGAGGATTTGCCCCATGTTTTATGAAGGGAGAGAAAAGAGCCCTCTCCTGAATAGGGAGCTGGGACAGCAAGAAGTGTGTAGGGTGTACAGTGTTGTAAGGGCATCTTCATCCACCCCAGGGCAGTCCCAGTGGCTGGGGGGAGGGGTACAGGCAGGGCCTTGCCTGATGCTGCTCTCCACACTCCCCCACTCCTGCCAAGGAAAACCTAGTACACCTTGACCTGAAGGCTCCTTTCAGCCAGCGGGCACCAGGAGAGAGCCAGAGCAGCTCCACAGCTCCCACAGACCCAGAGCTGGGCTTTGTCTGATAATGATCTGCAAAGTTTATTCTCCTTGTAAAAATGCTGGTTTGGGCAACACCAGCATGCATGGAAGGAGTGGTGAGGCTGACTGGGAGGATGGGGGCTAGGCTGTCCTACCCTGGACCAGCCACACCCCATGAGGAAAGGGAAAGTAGGGCGATTTCCAGTGCTAGTATAGCCCCTGCTATACATAGCTTCTGAAGTGGGGCAGGAGGTCTTGATGCTGGGTGGTACTGGCAAAGAACTCACTGCCCGACAACTGCTTACTGTAACAGTTTATTTATTCATCAAGGTTGATCCACGTTGAAACTGCCTGCTCCAGCCCCGTCCCCAGGCAGGCACCAGGACTGAGCCACTGTCCCACCTCAGATAAGCCCACTGACCCCAGCAGAACAGGAGACTGCCCCCCCATCCCCCCCGCCTGGGGCAGGCAGCTGGGGATCCCATTGCTTCTAAGGTACATGTGGCAGGCTGGGCTGTGGCAGCAGGTGCTGGCTTCTCAGTAGCTGAGGACAGAGAGGCTCACAGATGACAGCAGATGCCTGCCTGCTCCTGAAAAATACTAGTGTTGTCTTAGTATGTCGGAGGGGTATCTATACAGCAGGGCCTAGATCTCCAGCCCAGGCTCCCAAACAGCCAGGCAGCCTCGAGGTAGAAACATAACCAGCCCAGTGGGCAGGGAAGCAGTGCCAACTCCCCTCCAGTCCAGAGGGGTGTTGTGCTCTGGCTTCATGCTGGGCTTCCCACTTCAGCCCCCTACCCCCAGAGCGAGCCATGGGGAAAGGCACTTGGGTAGCAGCGGGGCAACATGGGGGATAGCTGCAGTACCTGACATAGAGCCTACAGTACAATCTGGGCTGGGGTGCTAGTCCTGCCAATAGACACTGCTTGAGTCTGAAGAGCCCAGTGCTGCAGAGTTGAGGTGGCCTGGTGCTTTCTGGCCCCAGCCAGTGTGGAAGGGAGAGAAGCAGGCGGGAGGGCAAGCCTGTTCATTCTGTACAGAGGAGATGCTTCACGAGGACAGCGCCCATGAGCACAGAGAGGGAGGATGCAGACACTACAGTTCACAGGCCAGGAAAACACATGGCCAGGGGCAAGATGCAAACTCCTGTCTCCAGATGGGGAATGAGGAAGGGTCCAGAGACAAGAGGGGGAGGAGTCTCACACCCCCAGCTTCCCAGCTGGCTGGATCTGGGCCGGCCCTCAGGCATAGCCCAGCTGTGCAGGACTGCGGGTGCCCTCTGGCTTGTGCTCTGCATTGGGCAGGCTGGCTTTGCTCTCACTGCTGCTGCTCTCAGCCGGCCTGGCAGAGATGTAGTCCCGCACCTCAATCTCCATCCTCTTGGCTTTGAGGGTGGCTGCATGTAGCTTCTCCAGGAAGTCGGGCATGCCTGGCAGGAGACACAGGGTGCCATGAGCATCAGAAGGGACACAGTCTGTGACACAGTCTCAAGCCCCCCATTCAAGCCCTAGAGAGGGCAGCTGCCCCCAGCCGCTCCAGGTCCGGTCCCAACTCTGCCCCCAGCCCTGCATGTGGCCTGGGGCAGCTGCCTACTTTCTGCCCAGCTAGTGCCAGCAGTGGACAAAATGAATACAAGGCTGAGACACCAGACACCGGCACCCATGTTCTCAGCCCCAAGGGATGAGAGCAGTACTATGGACCTGTGAGGCAGTGGGGCCCCTTCCCCTGCTTTCAGTGCTCAGAGCTCTGCCAAGCTGGCTCCAGTGTCATGGATGTGCCTTCCACAGCTTCCAGGACAGAGGGGTATTCAAGTCACAACTTCCTGAACAAGCCACTCCCAGCTCCCTGCGGGCTCTGAACACATCCCAGTGCTTCCTGGGAGCAGAAAGACACAGGGTGGGGTCCACTTCAGGGCTCTGAGCAGAGACCATGGTAGATTCTCCAGCAGCCTCTAGGGGCCACCTTCCTTGTGCTCCTGCGCCCCCTGCTGGCACCTGTGAAGTCCTGCTGGCCCCAGCACTGTAAGTCCCCTCCCAGCCTGCTTCTCTGCTATACTGAATGTCCACGGAAGCAGCTGCCAGAGCCTCCAGCCCACCCTGGACAAGGGAGTCAGCCCACTCCCTCATGGGGTCCTAAGGTTGGTGTAAAAAGCCACAGAAGAGCTTCCTCCCGCTGACCCTCTGAAGACTGCAGCCACCTCCTTCCAGCTCAGTGCACAGGCACAGCGTCCTGTGCCCCTCCCAGGCTACTGGTTTGGGAGTCCAAACTCTCAGCAGCATCTCAAATACATGAGATGATTACACTGCAGAGCAACAAGGCCCAGCTCCCCCTGCCATGCCCCAGATAGGCTTGCTTCTTCTCCTGAGCCAAAAGGGGAAGCCAGGAGCCTTCAGCCCCATAGGCGACAGATCCAGACCCTAGGTCCTTCTCTCACCCCAGTAGGAGCCTTTGGCTTTACTCACCACTAGAGACCATCCAGCTGACACAGTAGCGGGGGAACACGGTCTGAGGGTTGTCACTGTACGTCAACAGGTAATCAAAACCATTCTAAGAACAAGAGTAGCATCAGTGACACATGATCTATCAAAGGACCATCAGCAGCTGCAGCCAATCTTATGGAGCCACTGCAGATCCCAATGAGCTGAGAGAATCCCCCCTGAGGCAGTCCAATTCAAAGGAAGGTGGAAACCCCCAGCCTTGACAGACACTGCATTTCTCCTGGGACAATTGTCCAGGATCCTACAGACATGCCAGGATTGAAATGTGCTAATGCTTTCCCTGGACATTGCTAAACAGAGATGTCAGACCACAAGCCAGATTAGACCCCAGAGAGCCACTTTTCCACCCCACCTGCATGCTGGATCCAGTGCCCGCTATGGTCAGATTAAGATGGAAGTGGTGTACAGCATGGGTCCTGGACCGGCCACAACAGGCACCATGTGTGGCTCAGTCCTGGACCAGCCAGAGTGGGCACTGGATCTGGCATGCAGAAGTCCCTCAATGTCCTCTGCTGTAGCTTGAGACTGCTGCCCCTGGTCCCGCCCCTTATGGCCACAGAGAAAGGCTCCATCCTCTTTATCCCTTCAGCGATTTGAGACCTGGATTTGAGGGATTTCCGTCTTCCTAAGTAGGGACCAGAACAGCAACCTCCCTGCTGGGCCCCCTTCGGGCCCCGGGGGAGGCACACCTGGGCCAAGGGTTAGCGAGGACTTAGGGAGCTTCTGCAGGGGCTGGACATATTCAAGTCAGCCAGTCCGGATGATCTCCACCCTAGAGTTCTAAAGGAACTGGCCGAGATCATTGCAGGTCCCCT